AAAAAAAAAAAAAAAAAACAAGCTTTAAGCCGCAAGCCCAAAGCCCCAAACCAAAGAACCTGAAGCCTAAGACCCCCGAGCCCCAAACCCCCCACGCCCCAAACCCATGGCTTAGGGGTTTAAGGGTTTAAGGTTGTGGTTTAGGGGTTAGGGTTTGGGGTATAGGGGTCTAGGGTTTAGGGTCTAGGGGTTTAGTGGTAAGGGTTTAGGGGTGCAGGGTTTAAGGGTCGAGGGGTTCAGGGTTTACTTTTATGCCCTTAAAGCCCTAACCTCTACGGCTGCTCAACAAAAAGCCCTTACACCTAAGTCCCTGAACCCGCAATCCAAGACCTTTAACTCCAGACTTAAAGCCTAAACGTCCCCCGAGCCCTTACAGCAACTAGACCGTAAGCCGCAACCTGTGAGGCAGCGGCTGGACGTGAGGATGCGCTGGGACCCCCAGATCCCTTCGAGTGAGTTCCTTAAGGGCCTGTGAGTTTGGGCATGTTTTTTTTTCGGTAGGGTTTGTGCGCTTTTTGAACAGTTGTTGCAGGTTTTAGGGGGTTTATGGGGTCTTATAGATTTTTTGATAGAGTCTAGGCTTAGTGCCCGCTCCGAGCTAACTGGGGTGTTGCTTTCTGAAGGTTCCCTGTCTAGGGTTGCGAGGGTTTGTTCGGGTCAGGTTTCCATCTTGAGTATCCATGCTTTCAGCGTGTTCTCGTAAGCCACAATGATGCACATCGGTATCCTGCATCCCATGAGCTTCAACCCGAAGTCACGATCCCTAGAAGCCTGGCAGGGCCTTCTTTGTCCACTCGGTGATCTTGCGCGCTAAGTTGTTGATGCTGAGCAAAATCGACAAAGTCGAGTGGCGTACAGCAACTTCATGCTTCAATGGACCGGTGGTTAGCTAATGACTTATAGAGATTGTAGAGGTTATGAAACGGTTAACATATGGTTGCCATAAAGGGTTGTATAAGCGGTTATAGAAGGGTTTGCATATAAAAACGTAAAGGGTTATGTAAAGGGTCATAGAGGTTATAATTCAGTCACAATCGCTACGGTTCTGAGCGTTTGGGGTTCAAGGCCCCATTTGGGCCTTCTATGTTTCCGTTTTCCTGGGGGTTGAAGTCCTGGAAGTCGATTGAACATTACCTGCACAGCAGTCATGAGAATAATGGAATTTAGGGGCTTACCCTAAACCCCAAGCCCTGCTACAGTTGAACTGACATCGGGCAGGCACGAGCGCATGGACGAGGCGGGCGGATGACACGAAAGGTTTCTGCGATGGTCAGTGTTTGGGAGTTGGGTGTTAGGGAATTTGTGCTCAAGGCAAGACTTCCTACAACTTCTCACTAAGTGGCTTCTGGGGTTACTTGTCATTTAGCCGCGAGGTGTTCGTAAAGGATTTCGTTGTGAGGAATATTCGCTACTCCTGCCACTCGATTTTTCCTGGTACCACCGACGCCGTTGAGGTACCTGTTGTGACAACAGCTTAGGACCAGACTCAGAATAATCCACTTCTTTTCTAGTGACTCTAGTGCCGGACAAGGCGCGTACCCTAAACTGGCGCTAAACCCTACACGTCTTCACAACATGAGCAAGAATTCGTTACAATCGCTCATCGGGATCATCGAGGGCCCGCAAGCCCAACAAAGCCCGCATAGTTTAAGCCAGATATGCAAGGGGGTTGGGGGGTTGTTCTTTAAACCAGGACCCGTTTTCATTCTAGGTTCTTTTATGGAGAATAATGTAGTCTTTTGGGATCTCGAGACAGACCAGAAGTTTGAAAACTTCGCACTTCACATACACTGCCCGGAGATTGTGGAGCGAATGTCAGGAGCCGGATCGTGTCGAGAGGGAATCGGTGACGGAAGAGGAGCTACAGGGCGTCCGCCGCCTAGATCAGTGCGGGAGGGTGGGAGAAGGATGGTTGCCGTAAACGGCTGTTACTGGGTTTGAGAAAACTCCCGTGAAATGATAATTTGATTGGCGAATGTATGTATGGGACAGGGTTAAATTGGTTAAATGTTCGTAGCAGCTCAGGCAGAAGGAGTGGCAGTATTATCATAGGCTTGTGTCAGTATCAGCATGGGATGTTCCGGCACGGAGGCGAGTATTCTGATCAAATGCCCGCCAACTTCATTACGTTCGTACGTCCTAAACCCTACGGTCAGCCCCCAACCCCAACGCTAAACCGGAACCCTAAACGATCCTGGAAGCCTAGACATCTCTGGAGTTCCCGCAGTCACAGTGGCCTCTGCACTCGTGGACGGAAGAAGTGGGCTGGAGTCAGTTTGGGCTGGACTTGTTGATGACGATAAACTCTCTGTTTTAAGAACTGCCGCCTTAAGCCGGTGTTTTTATTCGCGTAAGCAGCCCTGGCAAGATCTATTTGATATGGATGGTAAAACCCCCCAAAACAAAAACAACTCACCGTTTCAAGAACCCCAAACCCTACAACCTAAATCCCAAACCCTAAACCCTAAACCGCCTTAAGCCTTGAAGCCCCAAGCCCTAGATCTTTCAACCCAAAGCCCCCTAAACCCTTTTAAAAAAGCCCTTAAATCCTGAACCCTTTGAAAAAGCCCTTAAACCCTAAACCCTTTAAAAAAGGCCCGTAAACCCTAAGCCCTTTAAGAATAAAAAAGGCCCTTAAACCGTTTAAGAAAGCCCTTTAAACCCTAAACCGCCTAAACCCTTTAAGAGCAAAAAGGCCCTTAAAACCCGAATCTTCAAGTCTCCAAAGCTCGAATCCCAACTTCGCAGACCCCTGAGCATACGAGGAGTTCTTTTAAAGGGATCTGTAGGGGTTCTTTAAGGGATCTGCAGGGGTTCATTAAGGGATCTGTAGAGGTTCTTTAAGGGATCTATAGGGGTTCTTTAAGGGATCTGCAGGGGTTCTTTAAGGGATCTGTAGGGGTGCTTTAAGGGTCTGGGTGGGTTTCCTAGGTTTTTTGGAGTTTAGGGTTTAAGGTTAAAGGTAAGTTTGAGGTTCCACGTGGTTTCATGCGCTGTTCTTAGGTGTTTTTCAGTGTTTTCTCGGCGTCGATTATAGGGGTCTAAAAGATCTACGGGACAAGGGTGTCTTCACAATTAGCGTCGGGTGCGGGTGTGCAACATAATCAGTATAACGACGAAAGTGGGACCGTAAAGGGGCCTTGGCTACTTATTCAGACCTCTGTATTCGGCCTCTTAGGCCTTTGCTTATGCTTAGCACTAGAGGATGTAGCCTTTAACCTTTGTTGGGCGTAGATCTCCCATGTAACCCAAAATCCCTTCCCCAGTTCTGGACAGGAAACCTCGAGCCAGGAAGCTGCAGCCTTGAGCTATACCTTAACCTACCAAAACCTATTTTTTGTAGGGTCCCTATAGATTCCATATTAGGGTTTATAATAAGAACCTACAAAAAAGTAGGTTTTGGTAGGTTAAGGTACCCTTATAACTGTCGCACCTCCGAGTAGATTTGCGACAGGGGAGACAAGAGTCTTCCAAACGGCGCCTTGGTGCTGCGCATGAGCGTCGAAAGGTTCATCGTGTGGTACCTATAGTCTCCATTGTAGTTCCTTTTTGGGGATACCTTATAAAATCCTTAATACATAATTGGTTAAACCAAAAAAAGGGAACTACAATGGAGACTATAGGTCAGGTGCAAGCTCGAAGCTTACTTTACTGTTGGGTAGCCAAGGTCTAGGGTTAGGGTTTAGGGTTTAGGGTTTAGGGTTCAGGGAGCAGGGCTGCACCACTGGAGGACAGTACCTTACTACTCACCTTTTAACTTCTTAAACTTCCAAGAACCGTTACACGCTAAACCCGAAGCCTCCAAAGCCACAGCCCCCAAGCCTTTGGAACCTTTCCAGGAATCCTTATACTAATTATAGGAAGCTCGAAAGTTTCGAAAGAACCATGTTTTTGGAACCCTTGATCTACTTCAGAAAATGCCTGAAATAAGTGAACGCCTCCCGGAGAGAAGAGGTCAGAGATATCGGACGGCAGCTAGCGCACAGCCCTCGGTCGGCAGGGTTTAGGCTTTAACTAGGGTCCTAGATGGTCCTAGCACTGCTGATCTTAGGGTTTAGGCTTCCGGGCACAGGGCTTAGTGAGTGTCCCAAGATTTCTTGCAATTGCTCAGGGTGGGGAACTGAAGATAATGCAGGCTGTCGTCCATCAGCAGTGCTCTTTTATCTTGAGGCTGAGAGCGTCAATATTCAGAGTTTTATGAGGAGGGATGGGGCTGAAGATGATGTCGATGACGGCGACGGTGTTCCTGAAGGCGGGAAGGATGATAGTGACGGAGGTGATGATGATGATGGTGATGATGATGATGATGGTGATGATGATGATTGTGATGAGGAGTGATCATCCGAGGCCCCACCGCAGGCATCATCATGTTGCTCGCCATGACGACGTCAACAATCATAGCCGTGGGTCGACATTGGAGTAGCAGCGTAGCAGGATTTTTCGTGAAGGCTCTGAGATTCTTAGGCTGTTGTGGCAGTGAAGTACCATCGGGCCAGCAGTCTTCACTTCTACATACAGGTGCAAAGTGAACCGTGTCCGAAACCCTAAAAACCCTAAAACCCCTAAACCCTTAAACCCCTCAAACCCCTAAAACCCTGAAGCGGAATCATTGCCATGCCTGCCTTGTGCGAGTGTGTGAGTCGAAAACCCTGAAGCGGGGTGGGGCTGTTGTCCAGACTGGTCCATAGGACTCGGGACTGTTCGATCTTGCAGCTCCGGGCCTTGAGCTGAAACGACAGGAGCTTCCCTTAGAGCTAAGTACAATGGGAGAATCGTCATTGAGCAACCCCAAACCCTAAACCCAAACCCTGAACCCCCAAACCCCAAACCCCTACACCCTGAACCCCATAACCCCTCAGCCCTAAACCCTAACCTCCTAAACCCCTAAACTGTCCTCCATGCTTTCGATTTAGGGTTATAGGGTTCAGCAAGGTTTAGGGTTATAGATCCTATCCTCCATGCATTCGGTTTAGGGTTTAGGGTTTAGCAAGGTTTAGGGTTGTAGATCCGATCCTCCATGCATTCGGCACACCCTGAACCCTAAACCGTAAACCCTAAAAACCCTAAACATGAGCCGCGCCCTCCCTTCCTTGAGCCTCTCGCCTTCGGGCCGTCCACGAGATGATGCTCGGGAGGACTGGTTTGGCAGTTTCGGGTTCAGGGTTTAGGGGCGAAGGCTTTAGGGGTTTAGGGGAAAAGGGCTTAGGGATAAAGGGTGTGGGGTATGGGGTTCAGTTAGGAGTTTCGGCTTTAACTTTAGAGTTGTGGAAGACTTCTGTTTCCGTGTTCTACATGGGTTCTCTGGGATCTTGCAAGCCGTCGTGAAGAGCTTTGATCTGTTTAGATAGGCCTACTGGGTCCAAACACATACATGTTGGCCTTCGTTGACATCGAAATTGCTTGTCTGTTGCTTGACATTCTGAGGCCTGCGTTTCCCGAAACCCACAAGACTTTGATCCCAAGGAGCCCGAATTCCTAAACCTCTACAACCTAAACTCTAAACCTAAACTCCGGACGTAAATCTGTCTGCAGAAGGAAAAAACTAAACTGAGCACCAAGCCTAAACTGAGCAAAGTCAACCACATGAGTCGTCGGTTATTGTACGCCCCGAGCCGCCTGAACAACCCTACACCCCGACCCTGCAAACGCTTAAACCCCAAGCAAAAACATGAGTATAAGTATAACTTGGGCATTTAAAACACCCTCAACCCTAAACCCTAAAAATATTTAGGGTTTAGGGCCAGGGGTTTAGGGCATACCTTTCGCCGCCAGTAGGAGCATTTGGATCAGACGCTCGCGGCAGCCTGGCGGTATGTTGAGTTCGGCTGGATACCATGTGGTTTAGGGCGGGTTTAGAGTTTGGTCGGCTCTTGCGGGAAAGTGTTGTGCTTTCTGGGCATTGCATCGGAAGCCCTAAACCGGGAAGGTCCATACGACCAGTCCGTAACCAGTAAGTGTCATGGTTTCGGGATCTCGGTTTGTCTCGGTGGCACGGGGGCAGCAGCTAGGGTGCGGCAAGCCGACTTTCCCTTGATGTGCTTGGTACACAATACCTATGGCATGTGTTCAAGCTAAACCCTAAGCCCCAATCCCTTTGAAGCCCCATGCCAGGATGAACGGCGGAAGTCTCAGAAATCAGGAACCCCCATCCTTGTTATAAAAGTCCCTAGATGATAAGGCGCCTCGTCTGTTAAGATGTTTAAGGCGCATTGAGTCCCATAACCCAAGCCTTAAGCCTTAAACCTCAAGCCCTAAGCCCGAAGCCCTAAACCCTAAACCCTAAACCCCAAACCCCATATAAGCTCTTGAACCCTAAGGTCCAAATCCAAATCCCGAAACTCTAATGGGTCTAGGGGCCCTAAGCCCCAAACTCTAAACCGCAAGGTCTTAGAGACCCTAAACCCTAAATCCTAAACCCTAAATCCTAAACCCCAAACCCTAAACCGCAAGGTCTTAGAGACCCTCCGGTATCGCAGCTTCGACCATGCGAAGCCGTGGTTGGATGAAGCCGGGCAGCTGGTTTGGTCGAGAGCAGCCGGGCAGAAACACGATGGGGTTTAGGGTTTAGGGTCTAGGGTTTAGGGTCTACGGTTTAGGGTCTAGGGTCTAGGGTCTAGGAGTTTAGGGTTTAGGAGTTTAGGGTTTAGGGTCTAGGAGTTTAGGGTTGGGGTTTAGGGTCTAGGAGTTCAGGGTTTATGGAGTTTCCTTGCGGCTTCGGCGCTCAGGTTTTGCTCTTGGGGACCGGATGTTGGGAGACATGTTCATTGCAACGGTTATTGTCGTATATCAGCAGAAGTATCATCAGCACCATCACCACGGCCATCATCACCACAGTCAGCCTTATCACCGCAACAAACATGTCTACTATGGTTAACCCCTATAAGCCTTAAAAACCTAAGTTGGCCGCGGCCGACCATGAGTGTGACGACTGGACTGTTGCCACCCCTGTTGCAAAGGACTTGGGCTTGAGTGTTTAGGTGCAGGGTTCTCCTGGTACTGCTGCCGCTGACCCGACTTTGACCGGTCGTCCCGATAAATCCTTCCACAAAGTGCCGGTGTCTCCGGTCGCAGACCAAAGTGCCATCGATCCGCCATGCTTCGTATAGCAATAGTAACAACCTGAGCTCCAGAGCAGAAAAGATGCCTCCAGTCAAAACCGGGCCCCGGTGCCACCATGGCGCGGGCGGACATCAAGAGCCACAGAGTCCGGTTTTGGTTTAGGGTGGGTGCTTGCAGCGTTGGAAGGGAGCTCATTTGCGGCTGCGACATAGAGTGGGCACGACAGATTTAGAGCTTGCAGTACCATGCGGTTGCTGGTGATGATGCTGCTGCTGTTAGCGGATGTTGGTAAGCAGTTTGTCGTCGTCCCAAACCCTTTAGCATGAGCAGCAGAAAAACACAACAGGAAATCAAGCTCGTCGCCCGCCCCAAGACTTCCAACCCGCCTTGCAGCAGCCAAGGGGCGAACTCGAATGGCCAAAGTCATCTACACCCAATGCTTTGAGACCACCATGGGAGCTGCTCACATGAACAAGTGCAGTGATTGGAAGAGCTGATATTGGGTGCTCAGCGACCTTGGTTTTTAGCAAGGCATTTACTTTAGAACTTCGTATGCCGGCTGGTTTTGTTGTTGGAAGCGCTGGTTTTCCCGTGAGCGGCAGAGATATACCCTAAACCTTAAGCCCCTAAACCCTAAACCCTAGAGAAACCCAAACCCTACATGATTTCAGGTAGTCATCATGCTCCACTTCGGACTGATTCTCTTCGAAGCTGAGCAGGCGCCCTCTTCCTAAGACTCTATGGCATAAAGCGCTCCGGCACCCCACTCCCCAGTTGCCATAGTTTAAGCCCCAAGACCAAACCCAAACCCAACCAAAGACGCATTAAGCCCGGCACCTATACGCTAAACCCTAAACCCTAAACCCTATATGGTCTACACTTCTTAACCCTGTTAACCCTAAGCCCTGTGTAGCCCTATATACCCTAAACCATGACATCCTTACCCTAAACCCGAAACCCGAAACCCTACAGGCTAATGCAGGATGCCAGGTGCTTCCCTCCGCGCTTCCACGGGTCCTACGAGCTCTGCCCTTTCCGAAGCAGCGCTTTACTCTGGCACCAGGCGGCTGGGGCTCAGAGTTTATAAAGACTAGACCTTCCCTTGGAAATCAGCAGGGCCTGTAGTCTCCGTTGTGGTTTCTTTTTCTGGTTGAACCGATTCTATATTAAAGAGGTGTTTGTAAAGACTATACCTTGCCTTGGAGATCAGCAGGACCATCCCCAGGAAGACGTTTAGGGTTTAGGGTTTAAGGTTTAGGGTTTAGGATGTTTTTGCGGTGCTATCTTTTGTTGGGGGGTTTTGGATTTGGAGGAGGTCTGTTGCAAGATATCCTGCTGCCACTGGCAGTTCTCGGGTGATGCAGCTGTCGACGTCTTTCGACGGCGACGAACTACTACTACTACTACTACTACTACTACGACGACTACTACTACAACTACGACGACGACAACAACAACAACTACTACTACTACTACTACTACTCCTCCTGCTGCTGCTGCTGCTGCTGCGACGACGACATCGGCGGCTTCCCAAAATTAAAGCGCTATGGTTCTACCTACACACCCTTGGGTCCAGGTAGGCCCCAGCCCCTAAACCTTGGCCGCCAAGCCAAAGGTCGTCGACTGCTTCTTGCTGGTGATCTACTCATCCGAGTTCTTCGCTCGCTTCTACGTGGAGCGCAGAAGGTATTTTTGCAACGCGTGGAACATGGTGGCCACTTGTCCGCAAGGGCTGCAGAGGGTCCTTGCTAGGGGTCTTAGGGTTTGCGGGTGCCCTGAACACCTAGGGCACAGAAGCTTGGCTTGGCCTTTTGAAAAACCGCAAAGAAAGCTTCGGCCGTTTGAAACAACACCCCTGCCAAGCTAACAGCCCAGCAGAGACCAAACACGGTCTTGGGGGAGACCGCCGAGATCTGTTGGTCATCTTGAAGCAAGGAGACACAACAGACTTGCACAGGACAAATACGTTGTTTAGGGTTTAGGGCGTCTTCGGGATTCTAGTAACCCAAGACTTGGGTTACTAGAATCCCGAAGAAGCCCTAAACCCTAAACAACGTGTTTGTCCTGTGCAAAGTCCGTCCTGTCTTCTCCACGACTCGCAAAGCCATAATAGAGGACTTCACACCTCACATTCGGCGTAAACCCTACCTATAATGTCCATTGTAGTTCCTTGTTTTGGTTTAGCCAATTCTATATTAAGGATCCTAACAGGTAGCTCCAAAAAGGAACTACAATGGAGGCTATAGGTAAGCCCCTAAACCCCTGAACCCTAGACTCTTCCGGGTTTGGTGAGGACTTCACCACACTGGCGGTGGGCTGGCCTTGCTTTCTTTTTGGATCGAGGTGCTGGGAGCATTGGAAATGGGTTTGGGCTTGGCAGGCTTTGGGTTTAGGGTTTAGGGTTTTGTTTTTTTTAGGGTTTAGGGGTTCGCAGTGGACTTCGGGTAAAGATTATTTCCTTATCCTTCTGGTCATTTTGAAGGTCTAAGATCGTTCTCAGCCCTTACCCCCCTTAAATGTCACCCTGGCGATACTTGGATTGATTTTAAGTGTTGGGCCCCGATGTCTTCATATTGGGGGGGGATTCGGGTGGGTGTCGCATGGGCTGGGGGAGGACCCGGGAACCAACCTCCGAAGCAAAAATGAGTCCCAAAGCATTAGGGTTTAGGGTTTAGGGTTTTAGGGTTTAGGGTTTAGGGTTTAGGGTTTAGGGTTTAGGGTTTAGGGTTTAGGGATCCATGAGCAACTATTCTCCTCAACCCCTAGATAGAAGGCCTCGGCTTTCGGCTGTTAGCTTTTGACTCTGGAGCTTTATACCCTGAACCCCAAACGCTTCATTTAGAGCTGCAAGCCTGATAACGCCCCAAGCACCAAACTCTAGACCCACAGGCTAAACCTCAACGTCCTTCGTCTCTTCCGCTGCATACGAACCATCCGGGCTGCGCGCGTCTTCATCTCTGTGCCAGAACTCTATCTGCTGGCGGCCCGGAGTTGTATAATCCCCGAGAGGGTGCGTGTTTTTCACTTTGGGTTGGTGTAATACCCATAGTATCACAGGCCCCATGGTAGTTCCTTTTTGGGATTGCCTAATATAGCATCCTAAATTTAAGCCACAAAAAGGAACTACTATGGGGCCTGTTACCCATAGGGCCTATGGGTAACTGTACAGCAAACCCTTTGCAACCTGAACCTTGGCTAAACTGCCGAAAGCTTGAAGTCCATGGCAGACCCTACCTTTGCTTTTGTGATTTAGGGTTTAGGGTTTAGGGTTTAGGGTTTAGGGTTTAGGGTTTAGGGTTTAGGGTGGGTGCTGAGGGGCGTGCCTGGCGCGTTAGCAGTCTTGATGTTCACCAGACCACAGGCTAAACCCTAAACCCTTCGGGGATCATCCGATAAAAACGGAGCGATACAGAGAAGATCGGCATGGCCCCTGCGCTGGGCAAGGGTGACACGCACAAATCGAGAAGTGTACCAAGTCGAAACCGTGCTCCCCAAAAGCCTTCGAGCATCCCTATATCCCAGCAATCCGAATAGTTCATCCCAGCAATCGACAAGACTAGATCATGGTGGCGGTGTATCTAAGGCAGTGATCCAAAGTTCCCTGGTACCGTCCGTAAGAAGGAAACACCACCCTGCCAAGAACACCGCGTTTTTTTCACCAAGAATCCCAGAGCCCGAGCCTTGAGCGTGCCTCATGCCTCACCCAAGACCCCTGTCGAAACCCGCACTTCGACTGTCGGTGACCACTGTTGGGTTTTATCGCATGTAGTTCTGGTCTTGATAGGTTTAGGGTTTAGGCTTATTGTTTAGCGTATCCGACAGATTAGCTCGTAAAATCATGAGGATTGTGCGTACTTGGCCTTGAATCTTGAGCATCTCGCTGCCACGAGTGTGATGTGCTGTAAGGGACATTGGCCGGGCGAGCTCCAATCAAGCCTGTGTAAAAAAGGCTTATGGTTTCCCTGATCTGCTTGAGCTCTTACTGCGTCCATGTTCCTGCAGGTTCCTACTTAGTAACAGTCTCGTCATATTGAACCTCCGCTTGTTCGTGAGACTGGCAGGCTTACTGCTACTCTGGGTAGTATGTACCTTTCCCTAAGCCCATACGCTGGTAAACCCCAACCTAGACCCTAAACCTTAAACTTGTGTGCTCATCCCAGGTCACTGGTCTTTCCTCCTCGATCAAGGTGTGGGTCTGTGAAGTTGGAGTTGCTAGCATTCGGAGCTCAAGGTTCAATGAAGGTTCAGGGTTTCCGCTGAACCTCCGTATGCTCAGACCTGCAGGCGATTGTACAAGTCCTGATGCAAAAAGGATGAACGGATGACTGAACGGGCCTTAAAGTGAAGAGAAGCACAGAGGGATTCAAGAAGTAGGTCACCTGCTAGGTCGTCGCTGGGATACAGCCCAGTAGGGTGTTTCCGGTATTGCTTATTCCCAAAAGTTGTGACTATCATAAAGAACAGGTTTTCCTAAGCCAGATATCCTACCAGAGAGCAGCATGAAGCTTCCGACATCCAAAACCCTGAAATCCTAAATGTCCTAAACCCAAGCCCGTGGAATCCACCAGCGGGCGGTAAATTCCGAGTTGTCCTGCAGAAGGATGCATAATTAATTTTCAGCTCAGCCACCTCCACCAACAACAGCCACTCAACCAAAGCCCCTCCCCAATGAACGGGATTCACATTTTTCGACTCCAAAACCAGCGTGGCCGCATCCGAAAGGGTTGTGGTGCTGATCGGCCACACGCCCACCGCCATTTTGCGATAAGCAGCAGCTCCCACGAGCCCTGCCCGATAGAGCTAGCAGATATTGATTCGCATTCAGAGATAAGAAGCAACCGTGCGCACACCCAAGGGCCAACCAACCTCACGCAAACCTCACGCAGCCTCCGGACGACCTAAGAGGCAAGCCTCACAACATCAGCATCATCACCATCAGCATCATCGCATCATGCCATCCAAACCAACTCCACGGAAACGAAACCCCTCGGCACGCTGTGCGGAAAAATGCCGCTAGGCCATGTTTTTCGGCTCGCTTCTGCTGGTCGCCGCCCTCGTCTTCTGGGCCGTCATCGCCGTTGAGGTGCTGCATCCGATCACCTCCAGGACGGGCCCAGGCCAACTCATCAACAGTACAGGCTGTCATAGTAACTTCTATCACATTTTTTGTACATCACAGCATGCTATAAACTGCCATGGCATATCACGGACATAGTCATGTCCGAAGGGATTCACACTGAATGTTGCTAAGTCGGAGCTTTCCTCGCCCCAAAGGCCACAACTCCAAACTCCCTAAGGTCGTCGTAATATAGCGGCCCAAATAATTATCTATACTATTTTTTGGAGGGGGTTCCTCAATATAACTATAGTATAACGTACCCCCAAACCCTATTGAAATTATATTAATGCCCCTATACCCCAAACCCTTGTAGTAGCCCTTACAGAACCCTTCAAGGAACCCTTTAAAGGAACCCCCAAAAGCCTAGTCTAATTATTAGGGCCCCCTACATCAGCTGAGTCGACTTGGGTCTCAGGTCTTCAATTTCTCAGGGGCTGAGTATTAGCGGATAACCTTTAACCTGTTGGCGGTTCTAGAATCTCATAATTCAAAAAGGTTTTGGGGCTTCTATAATCCTATAGCTTAAGTTTTAAAAAGGTCCGGGACTTGCCTTCATCCTAAAATGTAAAAGGTTTTGGGGCTTATATCATCCTATAGTTTAAATGGTGAACCTTTTCTTGGGCGAGCCTACTGAGCCATTCAGCTTCGGGACTTGAGTCCTGTCGCAGCGAAGGTCTTGGGTTGCCACAAAAGTGGACGTCGCTGAACCCTCGCTGCTTGCTGTAGACCCCGCAAGTATTGCTCAACCCTCAACCCTAGACCCTCAACCCTAAACCCAGACCCTAAACCCGAAACCCCAAACCCTAAACCTCAGACCCGAAATCCTAAACCCTAAACGGTTCGGGCACCCGACCCTTGAACCCCGAAACTTCCAAGCCCCAACCCCAAGAATGCTTCCGACGCCTGAACCCTCCTAAAACACTTCCCTCAACCAACCTTCAAGCCGAAGAACCCCTCGCGAACAAAATCTAGCCACAAGATTTCTTGTATGCCAATTCTATAGTCTCTCTCCATTATGGTTCCTTTTGGGGTTGACCCTTTATAAGGACCCTCAAAATATATGAGTTGTTAAAGTGCATGCTTCCCCCTGAGGATTCCAGTATCAACTTGTGAGCGATGTCAAGAGACTCGGTTGGACCTCAACGTCAGGTTCCGAGGTGGAAGGTTCAGCGCTTCACGATTTTTGAAGATATGGTTGAAATAATTGTTTATTGCGTATCTAGAGGGTTGGGGGCTGTACTTTATAGTAGTTGATTACAGGGTCTATGGCAGTTTAGGGGCCGTGATTTTTGTCATGGTTGAGGGTTGGGTGTCAGAATTCAGCAGGAGGCGGTTTTATGATCTGTTGAGTATCTTTTGTTTCATCTAGAGGCCTGCTCCTTCAGCAATCATATCCCAGAACAGTTACGTATAATCTTCGTAGAGGATACCCTATGCCTGAAGGCCGGTGTAGCACGCAGAATTCGGTTGAAGCCCTTGAGTACTGGGAAAAGGTGCCCCCCAGGTCAGTCTCAAATGCTGCCCCGAATGAATCGCAGCAGGCACTAAGTCAGATATCTTGACGGAAACCTGCACCGTCAGTCGGGTTCTAAAATGGAGGCTTAAACGGATCCCACTGTTGGGGTTTTCTGGGTCATGTCGGGGCGACGTTCCTACACCCTCCAGCTACACTGGCCTTCCTTCGCCACAGGAAGGCTTCGCAGGCATCTTTGCTGCGACAGTGACCCTCTTCCAGCAGGCACGGCCTTCAGATGCCCCTCTACTTGAACCTTAAAGCCTAAACCCTGAATCCTAAAGTCAGGACTTGGAAGGATCACGGTACTGTGCTATCCTTGCTGTATTGGATGGGGTTTGGCTTTGGATCCGGCAGAATGGGTGTTGGTCTAGGGGCTTAAAGGCTCCGTGTAGGGTTTGGGGTTGATCATCCAGCATGCAAGTTATGTCATCTAAACACCCTAAAACCGGCCCTATCAGTCTTTTTCAACGTAATCGTAAGCCTTGGGCCCTGAACCTTATGCCGTAAAGCTTTAGCCGTCAAGCTCAAGTCCTCAGCCCTGAGCCGCAAGAACTAAATCCGAATGCTTACACCTTCTGAAACCCTAGGGCCTAGGGCCTGCACTTGCGGTGTGGTGTTTCTTTGGTTCGGTTCTCGGCTTGAAGGCACGAGCTTTCGGCCAGCATCTCCGCGCGGATTTAGAGGCTTTAATGAGGTTTTTGAAACGGTTTTTAGGTACTAGGAAATTCTAGGCCCAGATTCTAGGCTCCATCGGGGGGACTCTGGGACGTATATTATACTTAACCGAAGGGTATCGCGTTTGATGTGGGATGAGGGCTTGGGCACAGCATGACCTTTTGCAGGTTTCGGGGTTCCAGTTTCAGAGTAGCGCACAGTACTCCTTCGAGGGATAGCACATTGGAGCCCTGAAGCATGTTGTTTGGGCCCTGGAGACCAGTTTAGCCACAGAGCACAATTATTTCCAGAAATCAGCGCCCTGCACCATAGTTTAAGCCCTTGAGTACAGCAGACGAGAAAGATACAACAACAAAGTGGCACTGCATCCAAAGAACCGTGGAGGTCGTTGTCAGCGATGCCTGGGGGGAGATCTCTTTGCCGTTGCTTCAGGCGAAGTCGTGGTGGCTTGGATTGTACTCGGCCATACTACATTACATTACGCGTATGGAGATTCGGGCCGAGGGTTCAGGACGCGTGTAGGCTTTGCTTAGGGCTCCTGCGCCGTAAAGGAAAATAAGCGATGCTTTACACGCTCGTTACCTGGCACTCTCCCTAAACATGTGTTCTGCAACATGATCGTCTTTCGGCTCTCGGTTCCACCATCTCTTGGATACTTTAACTGATAGGAAACGTCAGTCCTTAGGAAGATACCTTAGTAGGATCCTATGTTCATGTCCTCGGAAGGAAGGAGGCATGTCTGTGTTGCCACGGTCCCAAATGGTGGTATGGGGCCCGCGGATTATATGGTTGGTAACGGAGTCAGGTCTAGGGCTCAGAAGGGTTTAGGGTCTAGGGTTCAGACAGACGCTGATTGGCAGAGTCTGGGTTCAAAAAAAGGTTCAGACAGAATGACGGATGCAGGCCACTTAGGACTCAAGGTGAATGGCAACCACATCCGAGGACGGCCATTGTCCTTTTCCTCATTGCCGTCACGATATCCCTGGGCGTGATGAACTTGATACTGGCTGTCATTGCGAATTGCCTGCATACTGATTGTCAGTCGATAGGCCCGCTGCCTGCTCACATTACCAATGTGCATTCCCACAGAAACCTCACGCCTCTCAAGTCAGCAAAAAGTGCCACCTCTGCAACTATGTCGCCGGAATTCAACCTTTGCAGCTGTTCTGGGAAGCCTTTTTGGGGATAGGGTTTGGGTGTTTGCATACTGCAGGAACCTGATTCAGAAGCCCTGGCCCTATAACCCCAATGTTTTACGTAGGATATCCTAATGAAGACCGGAGGCTTCTTAACCAGTTTCCTATATTACCCCATAGCCAGGTCGAGAGGGCTGCACAGGGCAGGGACAAGGACCAGGAGCGCAAGATCAAGCAGAAGGAGCTGGGGATGTAAAATTTGGTTCTTCAGGACCTTTGTTTGTGCTAGGAATTGTGGTTCTAGGAGCATTAGGATCTACCCATCGTCTCCGTTGCAGTTCCTGTCTGGGGCTAGCATTCTACATCTATACGTATATAATATATGGTTTAGAGCCGAAACAGGAACTTTATACAGACGAGACTAGAGGTCAATAGGTATATGAAAAATATAGACGGTTTTCAAGGCTCTCGGCCCCATAGACCCATCGAGCTTTGAGGCAACGTCCTCCGGGCCAAGGAAAGGGGATTTAGGGTTAAGGGTCCTCTTTTATCCTTCAATCCCGCCTAGGCTTGTCTTAAACCCTAAAATGCAGAAATCTGGTCCGCACACATGCTATTAGAGCCAATGGCTCGCGTAAAGTGGGCTTCAACCAGAACTTACAGGAAGAAACAAGAAACCCAAAAGCCTACACACTACCCTCCTACCCAATTAGCCTTTTTTAATTTGGGACGGGGGTGTCATGCCTTCCTCTGCGAGCGTGTTCAGGTGCCAAACCGTAGATGGCTGTCATTGCCTCAGAAAGCAGCCGCACAGTATAGGGGTCTCAACAATCAGATCAGAGTTTGTGGGAATATACCTACAGTCTCCATTGTAGTTTCTTTTTGGGGATACCTTATAAAATCCTTAATATATATATATATATATATATTATATATATATACTTGGTTAAACCAAGAAAAGGAACTACAATGGAGACTATAGGTAGCACGTATAAATATACTAGTAAACCCTGAGGAATGACATAATCGTAACGAGAAGGCCTACGGAATATCCAGGCTTCTATACTACTTTGCCAGCCAGGTCCAGCCGCCATCCGCAATTCAAAAGCCCACAAACCTGGAACCCCACTCTTTAGATAGCTTTTTTAGATCAAGGCCTGTGTGAGTAGTCAGGGCTTGTAAGTCGAGATGTTTTGGAACTTTTGGTGGATGGTGTTTCCTAAAGCCTAAAGCCTTGAACTCATGACCGCATGCTTCGCCTGGATTGTCCGAGTGTGAGCGCCGAAATCGTGGAACGTTGCGAAGGGAGAGTAGTGGCCCTTTAAAGGGAACCTTGCTCTCGAACCCCACATTGCCCTTTCAAGGGAGCCCTATTCTAGAACCCTATATTGCCCCTTTAAGGGTAACTCTGTCAGTGCCCCGTTACAGGGGGACTTATTTTAGAACCCTAAAGCGCCCCCGTTAAAGGGAACCCCATGCCAGAACCCTACACCTTTAAAGGTAACCCTATCCTAGACCCCTATACTGCCCCGTTACAGAGTGCCCCGTTAAAGGGAACCCTCTGCCAGAACCCTAGACCCTCAGCCCTAAGCCCTAGACCCTAAACCCAAGACCCTAAACCCTAAACCCTGGAGTGCCCTTTAAAAGGAGAACCTGAACCCTAAACCCTAAAACCTAAACCCTGCAACCCCTAAACCCTAGAGTGCCCTTTTAAAAGGAGGAGCAGAGATCGAAGAACATGATCGACCTAGCGGTTCTCTGCGCAAACATGGATGCTCAGCTTGCCTTTAGGGGTTTAGGGTTTAGGGCTTTAGGGGTTTAGGGTTTAGGGCTTTAGGGGTTCAGGGCTTTAGGGTTTTAGGGGTTCAGGGCTTTAAGGTTTAGGGTTTAGGGTCAGAAGCGGTCAGCTAGATCTAAGCTCTGAGCCCTATAAGCCAAAGCCCCCCCCAATGTTGCACCTGTAGAAACAGAGCCCCGGAGGTCTAGTAGAAGACTTCATATTCAGGGTTTGGGTTTTGAGTTTAGGGTTTGGGGTTGAGGGGTTTGGGTTTAGGTTTGCATTCATCGCCTTGAATGCCCTAAGGACCAGGACAGTAGCGGCGCCCTCTCACTGGAGGAGATGCTGCAAGGCTACGATCGGAACGAAGACTTCCAGAAGCGGATGCAGGTAATCGGACTTGGACTATCAGGGCAGTTCACGGTTGCGATTTGGGTAGTTCTCTAAATCAGGGTCCCTTTTGGGGTCCTTTTGTATAAGGGTGCCGTACTATGTTGGGGACCTAAAAAGGGACCCTAATTTAGAGAATTACCCATTTAGTTTCTGGTTTCGGTGTTTTGGACTATGCTTTCTTGTATATAGGGGTCTTCAAGGAGCATATCTGACTACCGCCTACCGGGAGGTCGAGAAGGCAACTGGGCTTCTTCCACGAGCTGATAACTGCAATGTCCGTTTTGGTCATGGGGTTGAATTCTGAATACCAGTAGATAAGCCCTTACATATCAGGCTTTCGGGTGAGTACCGGTGAATCAAAAAGGATGCTAGCCCCAAGTGCTACGCGCTCAAACGCAAACGTTTGCATGACAGCTCTTTGGTAGGATTGCGGGTGCAGTATAGGGATCCGAAAACGTAGGAAGTCCCGAGACACTCATAGTATCATGTATCCCGAAACACTGTTTTAATATAGGGCACAGGATTCCCTTGACGTCTGGAACAGGTTGACAGGTTCTTGTTTCGAAGTAGGCACCTCGCAAAGCCACCGAGTGTTCGTTTGCCTGGCCCCCCTGCGTTCATGCAGAGACTTGGGGCGCAGAGATAACAGCTGCAACAGCTCATGAAGAACCACTGCGACGCATGCCCCATTTTATCCAGCTTCGTGGCTGTAGCGCGGCGCGCGTGGGAGTGACCACCAAGGCACTCCGTGACCTACGCGAGAAGTCTAAAAGCCGGCAGGTAGAGTAATCCTGAGAAAGAGTCCTTATAGAAGGGAACCTAATCCTCCCTACCTTTGACGCCCCTGGTCACCCTCACTTTCGCTTTGCGGCGGAGAGCATGCCGCAAGGGCCACTCGACAGCGACATAAACATAGACTATAAGAGCCTAGTTAACCAAAGCTTCTTAAACCTCTGCCGTGCTTGCGTTGCTACTCAAACACCTCTCCCAAACCCAAGACCGTTAAACCCGCAAGCCATGAATCCTAAACCCCTAAACAACACAGGGTTTCTTGTTTTTGCATCTGGTTTGCAGCGACTCAACCAGGACAGGAACACAGGGTTCCTTGCACTTCCCAACCCTACATGCGTAGTTCTCCAAATTAGGGTCCCTGTTTGGGTCCCAAATATAGTACGGCACCCTTATAAAAAGGACCCTACAAGGGACCCTATTTTAGACAACTACCCTTCGTACGAGAGTTGGGTGGTTTTAATGTAAAGGGAAGTCCAGCTTGGGATCTGTGCTGTAAAATTGGAATTTTAATCTTTGAGGAATTCGAAGAGGGAGAGTACACCCTCATATGATTAGCTGAGACGGTGCGAATTCAGCGAGCAATGGCATCTTGAGCTCATCCCAGCAGCAGAGCGAATTGAAACCTTGACCTAGCCCCCAAACGCAAAAACCCCTAAACCCTGAACCAAATCCCTGAGCCCTGCTACAGAACCTCTAGTTGGTCACGGGTAAGAACTTGCAGGTGATGGACGTGAAGAGGGAGGACATGCAGACCATCTTCCGTGTCCTGGACAGCGACGATTCCGGCGAGGTCTCCAGCTACGATTCAGTGTGTGATGTCGGGGTCGGAACAAGTAGTAACACTGGCCCTCCCCTTGCGGTCTCCTTTGTCACATCCATGGGTTTCGACATCTCCACACCTCGGAACCCCGGCAATGTCCGAATACTTATCAAGATAGGGCAAGTCTTTGCCATAAGCCATAAGGCCCCGAATAGTTGTAGTTGTTGGCGTTCTACCTAATACCCTGAACCCTACACCCCTAAATCCCAACCTCTTACAGCTGGTTCCCATGGCCCCCAAAGACATCATGCTCTCAATCCAGAGCCACGAAAAGTGGCCATCATGAAACATGGAGGTCGGAATATGTAGTAATAGTAACAGCAGTATCCGTTTTAGAGAACCTTTACAGTTTTCTTATAAACTATATCCGATATCCCCAGCAACCCTATTACAAGGCTTCGGTATCACACTGATAATCTCCCATGTCGCACCTTAACTTAAGGGTTTTTGTTGCGTAATATGACCCGTGAAGAAAGCTATTCTAACTGTTAAGGCCCGAATCTTCGACCCGAAGCACTAAACCCTGACCCGGGAGCAGTCAGTTTCCCTCATTCAACCTAAACCCCAAACCCTAAACCCAAACCCCTAAGCCCTAAACCCTAACCCAGAAGCAGTTTCCCTCATTCAACCAAGCAAGCCTCGCTTTTGGGCATAGACCTCAGCAGTGCGAGAGGAAAGAAACACGCTAAACCCTGCCCAACCTTAGACAAAAAACCCTAGACCCTAACCTGGAATCAGTTCCCTAAACACTAATTAACCCTAAGCACTAAGCCGCATAGCCTTGTGCGAGTGTGAGAGTCGAAACACTAAACCCCAAACCTAATACCCCAAAGCCCGGACGAGGGGAATCCAGGGCTGCGCAAGGATGACATGCACAAATCGAGAAGTGTACCAAGTTTTGAGGGGAGCGCTCTCCCGGTTGGAGACGTTCTACGGGCCGGACCTGGTTCGGCCCGGCCACAGCTTGCTCTTGCAGACTTCTGCGTCAACGTGGCGGGACTCCCAGCAACGTCTCTTGAGCCCAGCCCAGCCCAGCCCAGCCCGCCAAATTCAAAACACGGTTCCTAGCAGGGCCCAAAGTTTGGGACAGGATTTTAGTAGGGCCCACAATTTGGGACAGGATTTTAGCAGGGCCCACAATTTGGGACAGGATTTTAGTGGGGCCCACAATTTAATAGGGTTTTGGTAGGGCCCACAATTTGGGACAGGATTTTAGAACTTGAAGCCTTGCCTATGTTTCGCAGATTACCAAGGCTCGAAGACAGGATCTTGGAAATCCTCAGCTTCCAGCTGCCAAGTGCTTCGGTTGTGGCCTGCGTCGACCGGCCTGGTGCCTGCAGTCTCGCTTGAGGAAGCTTTTGACGAGCCAGCACACGATAGTGAAAATGGATGTAGAAGGCTCCGAGCTTCAGCTTCTTTCCAAGTGTCGAGACTGGAAGAACACCCGCCTGCTCCTTTTTGAATACTCGGCCGGCCGAAGCCGACACTTCGGCGTTGGCCCCTTGGCGTTCGCAGGAGTTCTGGAAGCTCTGCGATCCGGCGGGTTCACGCACCTCCACCTGGAAGCAGCAGGCGTCACGAGTCCAAAGTTCTGGACACGGGAGGGGAACTTGGCGGCGAACTTGGACTTCATGGTGTGGGCATACCGACACATTCCTGATGTCGATCACGACCTCGTGGATTTCTGTGCTTCGCCCAAGATGGAGCTCCTTCTTTGCGACCTTCCCGGCAAGCTTCGCAAGTTAGCTGGATACCCAGAGGCCACAAAAAAAGCCCTGAACCAGATTGAAAATTAGATGCAGTCTTCATGAATATCGTCGAGGACCACAGAATTTATTGCTGCTTTGAAGCTTCTTTAGGCAACCTCGCCAGTGAGCATAGTTCTCTGCCATGCGAGAGGGGAAAAAAAAGGACCCTAAAACCCTAAAGCCCTTAATACCCCAAACCCTAAAACCCTAATACCGTAGCCATTTTGGCTCAAGGCCATATGGCTCGAGGCTTCCAAGCTTGTCTTGAGACGTTCTGGGTTGGTGACTTTTGCCATGGATCCGGCGCCGCTTCGAAAGCTCGTAGCAAATATCGCTTACGCTCGACGTTGTTCCAAGAAGGAGGGTCTCGCAGAGATTTCTCTGATGCTATCGCGAGTCTTGCATGCTGTTCGGGAGGAGATTCAAAACCGAGAGGATGCAATGCAGGTGGAAGCGTGTACCCAAACAGTGGAAACCGGCACACAGACCGAGACAATCCAGTTAACGGATGCTGAGGACTACGCGTCGTGTTGCAGCGAGGATGGCGAGTTCCATGGGGCACCTACCACCGAGGAAACGAAGCTCCTGAATTGCGATCGAGATATGCGAGATGTGGGTTTGGATGATCAGTGGAGTGTGCAGCAAGCAACACAATCTCGTGACCGCTCGTTCGAAGAACTGCCACCACAACAGCCAGGCAGCTCGTACGAAAAGAGTTTGGTCGATGAGTGACGAGCAGTTGGATTTCTTTAGTCGGAAAATCCAAGATCTGAGTGAGCCATTGACTGTGGCTACGATGGATGAGCTGCTTGTTTTGATGCGTGGCAAGTTGCACGCCCTGCGACAGTTGAAGCACGAAGCGTCGAGTGAGTCTGAAGCGTCCCGTTTGGATCATCAGCAGTCCAACTGTAAAGCTCCGATGGCACTGTTGTTGAGTCGCCGAAAAGACACTACAGAGGCTGTCACATGACATCACTGGGGCGGTTGAATTAATGATTGACTGTCGGTGGCTACAATGCTGGCTGCCGCTGCTAGTCCGACACGTGCGTTTAGACTTCGCCTGGCAGAGTCCGAGTTGTGAGAGCGTAAAACCCTAATACCCCAAACCCTAAAACCCTAATACCCCAAACCCTAAAACCCTAGCACCCCAAAGCCCGGAAGGTGTCCTACCTCGAGTTCTGCCAGCATTTGGGCAGTTTCTCGGCCCGAGATCCCGTTGTGATGCACTCCTTGGCGACCCGGCCGCTTCAGAGTAAAAGGGCTCAGTTTAGGTTCAGGGTCTAGGGTTTCTTAGGTTTTGGTGTTTAGGGTTTCCTGGGTTTTCGGGTTTAGGTTTTGGGGTTTAGGGCGTTTGGGGTTGAGGGTGTTTAGGGTTGAACTTCATAGGGTTCTAGAGGGCTTTGATGTGTGGGTTTTGTTTGGGTTTATAGGATTCGAAAAGGTGTCTTACGGTGTTCCAGGGCTTCCTAGGATTCTGGGGCGGTTTTTATGTTTGATTCGGGTGTCATAAGGTTCTGGCGGGTGTTGTAGGGGTTTTTGGTGCGTTGTATATAGGGCTTTTGGAGACGAGGGCGCCCTCCAAGGGGACCTCAGGGGCCTACAAGGTAAACAAAACTCCAAAACCAAAGAAGGCCCGCCACGTTTTACCGATGTCTCTAGTATAGATTCAACTTCCGGGAGCAGCTTCAGACTGCTTGGGTCATAGAGTCTAGAGGCTTAGAAATACTGATAATGCTACGGGGGCATGCCAAAATATGGTAAGTTTTGGATTAAGAGCCCTAGTTCGATTTGCTTGCAGCTTGTTTTCACCTGGCAACTGAGGTGAAGTACTCGGTCATGGAGCTGCGGAAGCGGCTTTGCTTGGCTGGCAGGAGTCTCTTGGGGGTGCATTGGTGGTATACTTCCCGTAGCCCCGAAACCTTAAACCCTAGACCCTAAACCTTCAACCGAAGAGACGTACAGAGGTGGATGGTGCAGGAGATGATGAGCCTCCTTCATGAGCCTTGGCTTAGTACTAAAGAATAAACTCAGGGTTTAGGAGTTTAGGGTTGAGGGTTTAGGTACTTGTCTGCGAGAATCGTATTCTTTTAAAGGATTCGGGTTTTGCCCTGAACCTCAAACCCTAAACCCTATCGAAGTATAGAACCAGGCATAGAGCCTAGGGCCCAGGGTTCTCCCGAACCCTGAGGCAAGAAGAAGCTACTACAAGGGCCTAGGGCCTTGGGTTTAGGGTGTTTATGATTTAGGGTGCAAGCCTGCTGCAAGAAAAGGGGTTTAGGGTTTAGAGACCTTTGGCTTTTCTTAGTCTATGGGGTTTAGACCTTTGGGCTTCCTGGGGGTTTAGGGTTTAGGGAAGCACTAGAGTAGAGCTTTGGAGCAGATTACAGTCAGGGTACATACCTAGGGGCTACGAGGGAAGATGATTGCATAACCTTAAGCTGGTCCTAAACCCTACATGGGTAGTTCGTAAATTCGGGCCCCTTCTAGGGGACTTGAAAAGGGACCCTAGTTTAGAGAACTATCCAAATGTCGTAAGGAGAGTCACTGCCAGTAGCCTTACTCCGGCCTACAGCTGAGGAGCACTCGTCGCAGCTTCGGGAGCGTGCCCAGCAGCTTCGCAACTTCGGGGGCGCGGCTCCGGATGTGAGCATGGCTCCGGAAAAGAGCCTTGGTTTTTGAGTTCTAGTCGTGCAATTTATCGGGAGATTGTTCGGTGCTTGCTCAAGGCATGCTTCCGATCAGGCCTTAATGAAAAACATATCCCCGCGTTTAGGGTCCCTCGATGTTTGCCGAAGCTTCCAGGAAATCATTCTGCCATCTTCGACCTTACCTATACTCTCCATTGTAGTTCCCTTTTTGGTTTAACCAAATATATATTAAGGATCAGGATTTTATAAGGTATCCCCCAAAAGGAACTACAGTGGAAACTATGGATAAACCCTAAACCCTAAGTAGTTGGATATGCACCTGCCGATGGACTCCATGATCCGACCTCGCCTGTTAGCATAATTCTCTGCCATGCGTAAGGAGGGAAAAAGACCCTAAGCAGTCGAACCGAGAGACCCCGTCTGCCGTGCCCGCGTTGCGAGAGCGTGAACCCCAAACCCTGTTTACGCCCCTAAAATGTTGCGGCAACGAGTTCCTTGGTTCTTCTTCTAGGCTCTCTAGAAGGGAGCACACGACTCGATGCTTACGCCGCTGATTGAATAGGGTTTTGGCGTATATTTTACTATAATTCTAATTATTTTTGGTAATTATTTAGGCCCCTATATCAGGCACTGGCGCAATGTCCATACAAATCGTCCGGTTTTGCCACTGAGTGTTCCGGGCCTGAATCTTCTACAAAAGCTTGGCAAACCAGGACGCCCCAAGGGCCATTTAATAGAGCCCTTATGGTCCTTGATGGTGGGTATCCAGGGTCTATTAGAGGGTTGTTTGGGGGTCTAGGAGGAAATTCAACAAGAAAGGGCACATCCTTGAGCAGCGAAGCCGGGCTCTTCGCAAACAGCAAAATCCCGGCGCCTAGTTCCGCAACCATGAACCGCGAGCCCTGAAACCCAGAGCCATCAGCCAACCGTCTGCTTTTGGATGAAGCTCCGAGGAGCACTTCCCTTCCTGATCTGATGCACCTTGGCCAATGTTTCTCTGCATGCCTTGAAGTCGCGCATCGTCGTTGCAGGGTGGCGACTGCACCTACTTGTCGCTTGTCGATCTTCCCCGTCTAGCCACTGTTAACTTCAGTTCTTGAGTACCGGATTGAGCTCTGGTACTTGTCGTCGAAGCTTGGCTTGTTGGCTTCATGCGGGCTTCCATGCAGCGTTTACAAGCTATATAGGTTCAAGCTCGCTCGAACCCTACACCCTAAACCCTATACCTACAGTCTCCATTGTAGTTCCTTTTTGGGGATACCTTGTGGAATCCTGATTAATATAGTTAAACTAAGAAAAAAAGGAACTGCAAGGGAGACTATAGGTAAACCCTAAACCCTAAACCCTATAGACTCCCTAAACCCTAAACCCTAAGCCCTATAGAGGTTTGAAGGATGCAGGGAGACCCACCCTGCAGGACGCAGACTTCCTTTGCCCTACCTCTTCGTTCCACAAGAGCCCTGAGCCCCGAAGACATCCGAAGGCTTCAAGGCTTAGGGGCTTGGGGTTTGGGGGTTTGGGGTTAAGGGGTTTGGGGTTCAGGGTTTGGGGTTCAGGGTTTAGGTGTTTAGGGGTTTAGGGGTTTAGGGTTTAGGGTTGCTACATACCTGCAGAATGTTTCGGCAAGTCGTGGGAGATCCTGAAATTGAAAGCGCTGACAAGACTCCATCAGAGAGTTGAACCCAACCTAGGCCAGCCTCCATGGATCCTTTCCTGTCATGGCCTGGGAAGGGCAAGGGAGTGGAGGAAAGCCAGAAGAAGGAGGATCCCACGTGGGAATTTCGATTCAGGCTGTAGGTTTTGTCGTCAAGCCGCCCGCATAGAATCCTTAGCCCGAAGCCCTAAACCCCAAACCCTAAACCCTAAACCACTATGGTTTGTTCGGGCGCGTTTTCACCAGAGGAATGATTGGCTTCCCGGGCCAGGGCCGCAGCTAGGGTTTAGGGTTTAGGGTTTAGGGTTTAGGGTTCAGGGTTCAGGGTTCAGGGTTCAGGGTTTAGGGTTTAGGGTTTAGGGTTTAGGGTTGTGTGAAGAGTTGAGGCCAACTCGATGTCTCAAATGCAAAACCCTAATTACCACTATGGTAGAAGCCTAAAAGTTGGAAACCCAGTAGCCTCAATCCTTGAGAGTAATCTGTAGGGAATCCCAGCTCTAATCAGGGTTTAAGGTTTAGGGGTTAGGGTTTAGGGTTTAGAGTTTAGGGATGAATCTCCAACTTTTGGGGATTTACTGTACTATTTGTTAGAGGTCCTTCTTCTGCGTATCAGACCCCTCTTCGAAGTTTGAAGGGTTTGTTTGGGAGCTCGACACCCGAAACTGAATAGCCCAGAGCCTTCAATTCAGACCCTTAGCCCCTTCAGAAGAGAATTTTGGGAACATGTTGAGGAGATTAAGGCAGGAAGCTGGTTCAGGATCTGGCTAGTTCTCTTTTTCAGGGTCCCTTTTTCGGTCCTCAATATAGTATGGCACGGCTATGCAAAGCACCCCCCCACAGGGATCCTAATTTAGAGAACTACCCATCTGTTGATGGTTTAATTCGTGTTCGGCCAATGCCTGTCAGAGTGTAGAGCCATCAGCTAGCCTTCTGCACATTGGTTCAGGGTCCAAACTGGTTTCGGGCTGATGCGACTTGCTGGATAGTTCAGCCTTTCCTATGTGGGCCAAAGAAAAGCATTCTGTTCTACTCCAATCACGCGACGTTGGTAAATCATCCAGATCTCGTTGAGATCTTGATTCCTCAAAACCGGGGAGTCAGCCCAAATTGCAAGTTGCACTGGGGATCGTTTGCCCCTTTGATCCATCGGACTTTGGGTGTTTTTGTGGTGTCACTTCTTGACTGCCGAAGCCTTAAGACTGCCACATCCGAGCACAGCCAGGAGGAGGACACAGTTTTCGCATCGATTACTGACGTCTCCGTACCTGGGCGCTCGGAGTCCCCCNNCCCCCCCCCCCCCCCCCCCTCCCGGCCGACTCCCTAAATCCTATACCGGGCAGGGTACAGTTGTGCAGTCTGTCATGTTTTATCATGCATGTTTGACGGATGTAAGCCCGAAGTCTGACGACCAGTGGTGACCAGTGTATCAAACTGTCAAGTCAAAGTCCTGCGGTTAATGGTTGAATTTGTACGGTATGAGGGCGGGACACGACAACATTCAAAAGCTTCGATGCTTCTACATACATACATACATACAT